AATTGTCCGATGGCTTAAATTTTGCCCAAGAAAGTTTAACAACCACAAAAACTTATATTATTATAAGTCAGATTTTTATGTCAGGTTTATTTAATCCCAATTTATATTTAAAATTCTAAAAGCCGATATTTTCAGAAACACTTTGCTCTATAATTGCCAGAAAGTCCTAGCTGTCCTAATATGAAATGTGACCAGAGGTCATTATTATAGTATATTGACCACTTACCTCCAGCAGGGGTTCGGTCCTTGGGACACATTGCTGGCCCCGCCACCAACAAAATGTATGGGGTATTCCATAACTCAGGACATCGTACCCTGTATAACCCTCCACAACAAACTCCAAAGAAATAAAGACTTAAACCCCACAATAATCCACATCATATCATTTTGACAGTCTAGGGTAATTGATTTCCAATCCGTAAACTGTAAGACCCTCAATCCAACGATCCTCACCAAAGATATACAAAAAAATCCCAACGAAAAAATCACACCCCATCCGTCTGACACGGGGCCTTCAAATTAAAACGAAACAGTCCTGAACTGTCCTGCTCAAGAGTCTGGTGTAGTGAAACTGTTTTTCTGACACAAGCCCTTGTTTTGATAAATAGTTGTGATACACTCTAGGTCCAGGACTGGCTGTGTCTTGACAGCTAGCATCTAGTCACATTCCTTAGGACTGTCCCTACAGGAAACAGGCTATGATTGACAGTCATCTCACCATGTACATCAACTTTACCTACATTAGATATACCAGCATAGATATAGATATATATATATACCTATACTGTTCGGAGAAAATTCACATGTGACCTGGTGTTTCATTGTTTAGCACAAGGCTGAGTAGCTTGGGGCCAGACTGTTCTACATATAATACACACACCATATATACTGGGCCTACTGTATATACATACCTGGGCTTATCTCTACCTACATATACATATCTCAAGTTTAACATTACAAAATACCCCCTAGACGGGCCTCAAAAACTAACAGATGAGTGTTGAATGTGGGTTACTAAAGACTGGCCTTCAATCAATATAACTCAACATATGAGGGCCCAATTGGGGCCCATTGTTTAATTAACAGCTCATTATCACTGAAATGCATTTATAATCCCACACTGAGAGGCCCCATATGGGGCTATTGTTCAATTAAGAATCAATTATGTACATCCTGTCAAACAGGGCCATTCAATATGATCAGCCGATAATCACTCCACTTTGACATGGGACTGAGGATAATCTAGCCTTGTTTGTTTTGATTTATTTACATACTTAAGGAATGTCCAATCAATCAGGTGAACTGTAGGCAAATCATCCTTGTACGCAAATTAAAACTACGATAAGATGAATGTCAATTATGTTTATACACTTAAAAGTATTGAAACCCTTTTATAAAACACAAAATTAAACTTCTGCCATATGCATGCTGTATGCTATTTTGAAGTGTTGAACCTATATAATTGCTATTTATATAGTATTTATGCAAATGATAAAATTTATATAATTAAATTTAAATCTCTAGGCCAAATATAAATCCTACTTGCTAAGTCTATTTTGGAGGAAGATTAAAGATTTTTTCACCCAGTTTTTTTTCTTCTTATATTGATCTATTGATGTTCTTGGAACAAAACAAGAAAATTCATTTAAATCAAACTGATGAAATTTGAAAGCTGAAGTATTATATATACATACAAATGATCAAATTATCACCTGACCAAATACTTTTCGCCTCATAAACACGAAAAAAGCAATCCCACAAGGTAATAGACACATACTAAAGGGAGAATGATAGATGTTCTCAAACTCGGTGTGATATATCACATAAAACGTGCGACAGACTTCATATTTCACTGATGTAACTTCCAAATTGTTGGGCAACAAACCAAGAGTGACCTCATATATATGATGACATCATCGTCTGTACTGAGTCTATATCCAGATGTTAAGTCCCCCCCCCCATCCCCAAACAAACTAAGAAATGTGCAGTTCAACCATTCTGCACAGCAAATTTAAAAAAAAACATGGTTTGACAATTCGAACAAATCTCAATTCCCTGCTGTTAATTGTTTTCTAGGTAGGCCAGGTCTCTTGTATAATTCCTTTTGAAACAATGTGAAAATATTACGAACAAAGAGAAATAAGATGATCTTTAACGACTCCGGCTCAGGTGGGCTCAATCAGTAACCTTGTAGTGTCACTAGCTGTGACATCATCTTTATACATGCAATTGTAAGACATATTGAAAGCTTAAGACGAGGGCATTTGTTGCAGAGAGCTACAAGCTCTGCCGGTAGAAACCATCCTCTGTCACTCTCAGTCCACTAAAACCTGAAAGTATGGTACTAGGTCGGTGAGGGGAAGGGGGTTGTGTTTGGTCAACATAAATTTTAAAAAACAAACTTCCTTATGTTGGAACCTTGAGCAGGATGTTGACACATCAATCAGACACGGCAATGCTACAGTGTATTGGGGATATAGTATCAATGTACCAGTGACTCCCTAATGTTGATAACGACAAAAATGATGACTATAAACCATGAACTCTAATAAAATATCATTTCCTGATGTGTAAATATAACACATGTAATGTGTATCTAAAACGACCCCTAAACAGATGCTTTTAAAAAGTCTGTAAACAGTCTAGACAATAATGCTTCAAGCTACCCATGAAATATTAACCTACACCAAGAAACCACCAGATCTGATAAAGGGTGACGATAATGATGATAGCTGTTGATGAAACTTCAAGATGTGTAATTATACTATACCACAGAGCTGAGGAGTGTCGATAGATGTGTTAGTGTGGTGAGTGTACCAGCTGAAGTGACTCATTGCTGACCATCTATTGCTCAGCCTCTAAACAACACCTACATCAGCTTTCACAGTTACTGTACACATATCAAAATTGATTTTTTTCTGTTACTTTTTTTAAATTTATGAACATTATTATATAATTTCAATGTCAAAATGCATCAAATTTGAAACCAAACAGCAGCAATATTCATTTCTCATTTGCTTTCAGCTTTAAGGAAAAACTTTGAAAATAAACTGTTTTATTAACCTAACAAGGCTTATATTCAATTGACTTAAATAAAAATCCAGGCCAAAATGCACATTTGGACCTGCTCTGTATTGAAGGTTTGGACTTTATCTCAAAATCAGATCAATATCACCCAATATCATGAAATCAACAAGAAAACCTAATTTGTAATGAACATCAAACAGCCATTGGCTAACTACTGCTGTAAACACAGGGTAAACAGTTGTCACTGCTCTGGTGAATCACAAGGGGAGATAACTCCTACACACAAATTTCATCAAATTCAAATTAAGTTCATTTTTGTTCCATTTCAACCCTATAAGCTGTTCAGATTAAATATACACAGCTGTAACTACACAATGTTTGATAGTTGCATATCCATCCCTACAGTGTCCAGATTTTTATCAGTGGATGAGGGGGTGATTTTCCAATTTCCCATATTATGATAAAAAGAAAAAGAAATCATACAATTATGCTTGGTTTCCCCTCTATTTTGTTTAAAGTTTTGTTTTTTACTGCTATATTGGATTAATGTAACCAGGAGAATATAGATGTGTACCTGCTGTCAAGACATATCAGCTATTGTTCTCTGGTGGATAGCGCAATTCGAATGTCGGACATCTGAACCCCCGGGGCACTGATCTACCCGGGGCACTGATCTACCGATACTTAACTACAATCAGGCAACTATAGAAACAATAATGTAGAAACCGGGGTAAGTGATCTTACAAATCAAACACTTGATCATTCCAGCCACAAACTAGCCTCAGCAACCTTTGGATGTAGATGTCAATTCCATTTCAAGTGGCTGAAATAAACATCTCATTGTTCATGTTATAATGGCGGATGTTGACCAGAAGTTGCCCGTTAGGTCTATACTGACACATCAAACAATATCGACACATCTCACTACAACAATTAAGTGTACTAAGGACATGACCTTTGAGTGTTGGAAAGGTCATGACCTTTGGGTGTATATAGGTCAACATGACATGCAGACAAGTGATTATAATATGGATTAGTTTCTGCTGTCTAATTTTCTAAATATGTTAGGAAATTATTACAGGGGACTACAAAATTTGTCTAAATTTTAAACATATGTAGATCTACATAAATTTAATCATGCAAATACCTTCATTATATTTTCAATTATTTATTTGATAAATGAAATCAACTTTTATAACAATTTTAGAATTAGATTGTAATTATATGATTGAATAAATGTCTAAGCTTTCAAGCCTTTTCTGAAATCTATAACTGAGGTAATTAACTTAAGATTATATATTCTGAACGCGGGAACTTTTAATATTCTATAGTCAAGACAGACAATAATGTGACACGTGCTGATTCTAAACATAAGGTAATTAAGTGGTCATTAGATTTATGATCAGGAATAATTTAAGACAACATCATTTTACAAGGACATTAACTGACCAAACATGACCGGTCAGTGGACACACAGTGTGTGATATCATATCAACACCTGCTCAAATCTGATTGCTCATTATATTTAGCCAAAGAGAGAAATATTTATGACTCTACTGCAATTTTTTAGCTTCATTAGTAATAAAATAACTTGACAATAATAAATAACATTCAATTCATGAACGATTCGCACATCAAATACATTTTCTGTTTTGATTTAATAAAAATATAATATAAAAATTCATATAAAGTTAAGAATAATTATCTAACTATATCTTTTCATCAAAATCATTTTATGATTGGGCTTTTTTCATTTGGAAAAGTTTTTTCATAAAAACAACTTTGTTATTACTGTGTTATTAAAAAGATCATTATGTTTAATCATGATTACCAATGCGAATAGCTGAAAATGTAAAAATCTGTCTGTAATTTTGTGTAAAAATAGAAGCTGATTCATTTTAAATGAAAGACAAAAACAAACATTAACAAATCTCAAGGTCACACAAGGTCATACAAGGTCACACGTGACTTACCGATACTGAGAAGGGGGAGGGCCCCGAGCCTGTCTGTACATGTATCGCCTGCGAGTATAAATTAACTTACAGATGTATTTCTGGGACACATAATAAAATCTTTTTTTCTAATAAAACAACCAAAACATCTAACACAAAACAAAATCTTCTGTCACGTCACGCTTTCATAATCCATTGAAAAGAACAATTCTGTAATGCACATTTGATTTTTTTTCCAGTACCAAAGGGGAACACACTGGAAAACAACTCTTTCTGAAAATGTTTTTCTTTTGAATACAATGCTACAACAACAAAATTCCTGAGAAATTTCTCAATGAACCAAAATGTTTTTTACTACTATTTTCCACCAATCAGTCAAGAGTATTGGTGGCGACATAGCTAGGGTACGTCGTAGCGTAATATCTTTGATCTGCTGATACTAATCTGTACCGGATACAGGTACGAAATGCACCTCAGACATGGACAGCAATAGTCCAACCCAAGGACGGAATTCCATCCAGTTGTGTATTTGATGCAAAAGAATTTGTGACGTAAAGCTATATACCTAGAACACGATAGCCAAATACCAATTGGCTTAGGGAAATCTTCAACTCAAACATTTTCCACGAAATTTACCAAAGGTAATAGAATATTTGAGTTTTTGTAGTCTTTAGATAATTATATTGAACATTTACGATATAATTTTTTTTGCTGAATTTACAAACCTTTACAAACTAAGATGAAGGATGTTCCTAATAAACAAATAAATGAATTGACCTTCAGATTGTAATGTTTTTTTGGATGTCGATATTTTAATTCCCCTACTTAGCTAGCTGGATACACTATACACCAATGTGTATCTTTATTTTTCCATTGATACTTTTCAGGACAGTTAGGGAATGATCTGGTGAGTACGTATATATGGCTTTAGGATAGAGGATTTATTTCGATATTACGATATGGTACTATGAGACAGAGAATGTAAACTATTTGGCCTAGGGCATTGAGAAATTGTTAAAGAAAATAGGTGGGGACACCAATCAAAATGATTTCAAATTGACTATGTATTGTAACAATCATGTTGTTTATTATGCGGTGTGGCCTTGCTTTCTGTGCCCTGCTGTTTTAACTCTGACTTTGTCCTCTACTTTCTTATTGTGACATATGGCAGTTATTTCATAACAAATTGAAACAATTATTTTTGGACTTTTTAAGAAAAGAATTGCTTAACCAACGTCTACGCTATACACAGCAGACAAACGCAGAGGAGACTGAGAATTGGGTATCAGAACTTTATGGTACGATACTGTGACATCGGCCTATATACGACCAGACAGTGTCAAAGATCAACCAAAGATTACGGAGAAGATGGTCACACAATACACAATTATCTCTCAGGGCTTTTATGACAGACATTCCCCAAATGAAACAAAGACATTTTTTTTTACATTTGTACTCCGCACAATCATATCGTCTCCATATTTGAACAATATCAATTACCTTTTAGACAAATAACTGAAATCTCCAGTGTTTTTATCTATGTACATATATACGATATATAAATATATATCTCTAAATACACCGGGAAGACCCTTAAGGGTTCCTCTTCAAAGCGTGACTGTTATTTTACATGCTTAGATATGCATGACTGACTTTCGTTCAAAGGTGGGGAATAGGTCAACCAGGCCTATCTAGGTTGAGCATCAAGGTATGTAAACATATCTGTGAAATTGTCATCAGGGAAAATGTGTCAACCTTAACAAGGCCAAATGGGAATTTTATTACAAACACTTCAATGCGATGACACACTATTTGAAAAATCTACTGTAATTAGTAGGTTTTTAACATAATTAATTACAATATATACAAATCATACATATATAAGATGAATGTAAATTTTTCTAAGTACATGTCATTTTTTTTCTGAATCATAAGTACTTTTTTTAATTGATATTAAGATTAATTAGATTGAAATTTATGTATGTCATTTTACCTATACGGAAGATATTCCTGTCAGATGTTTTTAATTAATTTGGAAATTAATTGAAACATTATACTATATGGCTATTAAACCCATATATAGTGTCATTTTTATCTATCTTAAGATATTTAAAAAAATAGCAATTCAGTCTATCTTTGAGAGACATGGTTAAAACAAGGTAGACATGTTGTAATATATATTTCAATTTAACAGAAATTTTAAGAAATAATAGATGTATGCATCATTTTCTACTATTTACTGTAAGAGAGTTAGTTTTCATGGAGAATTTGAAAAATGTTATTAATACCACAGGAGTTACCTCCCTTACTCCATAAAAAGGCAGTCTTACCTTGAAGCTGCTACTTCAGCTACTTGCTGGGACTGGAAAGAATAGAAACACAGATAAGTTACAAATTATCAAGTAAATGTACATATTTAATTTATGAAGTTATAGAAATTTCTGCTTTTCATCTTGATCTGGTAGGTATTCTTGCAATAGCTAAGGTCCTACCATATTAGAAACACCTGGCCCTATCTAGGGTGGCCATCAAGTACTAAATAATATTTATAACACAAATAAATTTATAATGTACAATAAAAAACTGTATGTGTAGATTTTCAGATTCCTGATAAAATAGTGCTTCTGAAGAGATCACCTGTAAATGGAAGAGCACTTAAAAATAATAAAAAATATCATGAGACTCGAATTTTTGTTATATTTATGTAATACAATATTCAAACACTACATAAGATGTTTTGCTCTCCACCAAAAAATTATGGTAAGATAAATTAGACAATCACAGTAAAAATGAGGACGACTTACTGGATCATGTGATGCGACATCTGTGGAGTCGGACTTGCTTCGTTTATGGGCCTCCATGTCCATATCCTGTTGTTTAGAGGCCTCTGTGATGGGCGTCACTGCGTACGGGTCCACCAAGCTGATATCGGAGCTAATAGAGTGGGGCCGTTTGGATCCGTCCTGTGCTTGAGACCGAATCTTACTCCATTCCGTTTGTGGATGGGGCTGTGTAGGACGACTCATGTGAACATAATCTGACGAATCACGCGACGTTATTGACTTCGACCTCCGTAAACTTTCCTGCCGCTTGGCATATTTTTCCCTAAAGGACTGGGTTGGGGTAAGTTTTGGAGAAGATCTATCCTGCGGTGAGGAAGGCGCTATTTGTGGCTCTTCAGGTGTTGTTGCTGATGTGTCAACACTATCCGATGATCTTTTTCCAGTTTTACGTTCCACAAAGTCCTGAATAGCATTACGCTGCTTTTGTTTCTCCTTCATATAATCGCCACTTCGTCTGTTCAGGTCTTTCTGGGACTGGGACATAGAGGAAGAAATAGCACTGTTCTTAACGGAATCCGAAATTGTTTTTACTTCCGTATCGGAATCCAAATTTATATCCATTTGTGAGGTGGAAGGCAACTGAAAGTTTTGGGTATGAAGGTCACTTTGAGACTGTGTTGGAGATTGAACAGGTTTCTGCCTAGTGTCTGATTGGGAATGAATCATAGCACTATGGAAGCTTGACCGTGAGTCTCTGTTCGGAAGTGGAGGTCTGATTTCGTCGAATCCATGGCCTGACAGAGGACGGATTTGTTCTGATGCAGTTCTTTTCAAGTTTGATCTTTCAATCAATTCAGGATTTATGTTTTTTTCCATTTTCAATGGATCAATATTTGCATAATTTGATTCCTCCGACACTGAGCTTGTCGTGTTGTGGTGGAGTGACCTAGATTTGTTGACAACATCAGCCCAGCGACCTTCAGATGAATCCTCGCGAATTTGACCGAGGGCCATCCGGTTTTGGTTATTGTTCATTTGCATATAATCACCAGAGTACGACTGGGACTTGCCGTGTGCAATCTGTAGCCCTGAAGATTTTGGTCCGGCATCCTCAAGCTTGCGACAGGCCTCATCATAAGTTCCGTATGCACGTTTCATCGATGTATTTCGCCCAATACTACGGCGCTGTTGAGCACTTCCACTGTCTTGCATTTGTGACACATTTGTTGAAGACACCTCCACTTGTTTAACACTAGGAGGAGTGGTAACATCAGAATCAAGAAACACTGAATCAGATTCATATGGACTCGTACGTTGCTGGCCTTGACCTTGTGTCGCCGAAGGGATGGGAGAATTCAGCGACCCCTGGTATGAGCCAGTGGAGGACCTGTGGTCTGATCCATGTCGTGATGAAGATGACGAGTGGGAGCTCCTATGTTTGGGACGTAAATATTGCCCGTCGGAGAACGAGTCCGCTTTACTGTGCTTGGGAGCCAGAGACGACATGCTCATACTGTGCATCCGCTGGTTTGCGTATGTCGTCTGCAAGTTGGCTTCAGAACCATACCGTGTATCCTGAATACTCTTTTTGTTTGGCAATATTTTTTGGGAGTTAGATGGATCCATACTATACCTTCCCTTGTGGCCACTGACTCTGGAGTCAGAAGGACTGAACACACGCCTATCTAACTCCATCTTAGTCGAATCTATCCGACCTTGACCTTCATTGTCTAAATCCTGATAGTCTTTACCAAATGGATGTGATGTTTCATTTGGATGTATCACAATACTGTTATAAGAATTTGCCTCCCGCATCCCAGGAAACTGTCCAAACGAGTGTGGAGGCATGTCAGATCCAGGACTTGTCGCACTCACTGTAAATATACCAGAATCTCCTGAGGATCGCTTATCGATACCTTGCATTCGACCACTCATGTATTCCTGCGACAGTTTACGAATCATCGGAGCATAATTTTGTGAATCCTCCTCGGAATAATTGTCTTGAGTTTCACTGGAATTCTGACTTTTCCTTGCATCCTCATTTAATCCTTGCACATATTTTGTTCCAAAGTTAGAAGAAGACACATTCCTACCAGTTTCAATCCTTGCCTCCTTATCAGACAAATGAGCTTGGATTGATTTCTCCTGCACCACAGTATCTTTTTCCTGGATTTGAGAAGTAACATGTATACTAGTCCGACTCCCATGAGAGTTTGTATCAGTCTGGGTTCCGGTGTTGTAGTAAAGCATGTGCTTGACAATGACACCACGAGGAGTTGACATTTGTTGGAGATTTTCCGATGGCCTGTCCTTGCTCTCGCTCACAGCGGGAGACTTACCAAACAGAGGTTGATTTGATTCCATCGGACTTTGTAACGGACTTGTACTAGAGTCCACCCTTGTTTGTACAGAAGACAAACTAGCACTTTGGGATGGGGAAGCAGGATGCCCCCTGGCAGATGAATGAAGTCCTTTCCCCTGGGTATCCTTACTTTCTTGCATAGAATCATTTACCCTTGAAGGGTCAAAGGTCAAGTATTTCCCAACACGTGGATGCAAACCCGAACTTTCAGTATTAGGTGCCATCATTGATGCTAGCTTTTCCTGTAACGTTTTTGTGTCAGGAACGGGATTGTCCCGTTCTGGCGGTGACGGAATGCTATATTTAGCATCACCAATTCTGTTTCCATCCTGATCCAACAAAGGCTTTGGATATCCAGGTGAATTATTCAGGAAAAAATTGTCCACAGATTTATTTTGTTTCTTATTTATTTTCTGGCTTTGATTCCAGGTTTGCTGAATTTCTTGTGGAGTGGGACGTTTTATACTTAGCCCCTTAAAACTATTTGGTTTGTTAAATCCTGGGTCACTCTGATTCCTTTTATTGTCCTCGCCATTTTTCCTGTCCGAATCATTCAAGCCCTCATTAACGGGCTTGAGCTGAGGTTTGTAAGCCTGATTGTCTCCTGTCACAGTCTCACTCTGGACAGGTTTGTCTCTCACAGGCCACGCCCCCATCTGTGATGCAATTGCTTCCCCTGCCTCAATGTCCATATTTGGATGTATCACCGGCCATGATGGGTACTTCTCATGATTTTTCGATGAGGCTTGCACATATTTCAGACTGGACATGTCCCTAAGCGGTGGAGGTGGTGGAGAGGAGGGCGAGTGACCATCGGTTTGTTTAGAGGATGGATCCTCGCCCTCCTCTTCTTCCTTCGGAGGCAACATTCCATAGGAATGAGAATTTGTCCGTAAATCAGTCACATTCTGGTAGTCGTTCAGCTGTGGTGGGAGTGATCGTCGTTCATATTTCCTTGATGATGAAATAGGTGTTTTGATAACAGAAGTATCGTCGTTTATGTACGTATTTGATCCATGTTGTGACTGATGTGGAGAAGGTCTGGAATTATAAGAGTAACTTCCCTTATTATAGTGATCACCATACCCACCACCTGTTTTGCTATATTTCAAGTCTGTTGGGCGGTTGGGAAATTTTGGCGTATAGTTTGTGGAATTTGTAGGACTACGTGGTGTACTTGTGGAAGCGTAACCCTCATGCAGGTCCAAACCCTGTTTTGCCATTGCCGCAGAAGAGACAGGCGCCATGTGACTGTTGCCTGATGGTGACCCATGTCCATAGCCACTCTTCCAATGGTCAGCCATGTTTAAACTGGGTGAGGACATTGCAGGAGACAGGTGTCCAGAAGGATATTGAATGTGACCTTGAACTTGGTTCAGGGTCACATTGTTGCTAGGGGGGACAGAGGTTGTGACCTGCTGACCTTGAAGCTGCTGTTGCTGCTGTTCGTGCTGCTGTTGCTGCAATAACAGTTGGCGCTGGTGTTTCTGGGTCAAGTCTCCCACCGTCGCCCATCCCTTTAATTTTGCTGCTGTTGCTGATTCCATATCCTGATCTGAGTTATCCCCCTTGGCATCTTGGTTGGCATTATTTATAGACGTTTCGAGTTGATTGTCTGGAAGGCTTTGTTTCAATACAGGTTGCTGGGGACTGGAATACTGTGGGCTTTGTTGCTGTGTATTGAACTGTTGGGGAATCAGTTGTTGGGGACTTTGTGGTTTGTTGTTGCTGTCGTGAGGTGACGAATGGACTGAGCTTGAGCCACTGGATACGGATGAATTATTTTTAGGTCTACGTGTCCCACTGAAACATACAAAAAAAATCGTCATTAGAATAAAACTTTTATAAAAATCCATGATCTCCACGAAATAACACATTTTAAAATCCTCTGGGTATATCAACCAAACAATTAGTTATATGTTGTTTTTTATTTGACAGGGATGGTGTCAAAACTTGAAATGGTGCGAGGGCATTCTGTCTGTATACAGGTGTCAGAAACTGTTACCGATGTCCTCGGGTGATTTCTATCTCAACCATACTAGAGATTGTAGCATATCATTTGCATAGAGCCACACTTAACTCCTGCAGGCACGTATTGGATCAACATGAAATGATGTAATCATACAATTCAATGGAAAAGCAACAGAACAGGCATGTGAAATGTGAGAAACCACAGCATAGTGCTGACGATATATCCAATATTCATCACATCAGCTTACATAATTTGATGATTTTTTTTCTAAATATTTGTCAAACCCCCCACAAAAATTGATAGTTTATCAAAGCATGTGCTTTGAGGTATATTGATAATTCAGAACATTTTTCCTGGAAAAAAAAAATCTTCACAGGAAATGTAAACATGATCAATACGGAACATTTTTACAGGAAAAAAAAAATCTTCACAGGAAATGTAAACATGATCAATACGGAACATTTTTCCAGGAAAAAAAAATCTTCACAGGAAATGTTAACATAACTACATGTCTATTTTTTTGCATGTTTTCCACCAGGAAATATCAACGTGAATAAAGAAGCATTTCCATCAGTCAACAAATACACCTCAGGATCTGTCTACAAACCGCAATGACGATGTTCTACTGGTACTTGTTTTCCGGGAAATGAATTAGCAATTTTATCAACGAATACACATATCTTTCTATGAAACATTATCGTGAAGACATTTTACCTGTTGTCTGAGAAACAAGGCACATAAAAGAAGTACAGCAGTCTAAAAGCTGAACAGAGGAGTCCGGTACGATCCCAAGCCTGCAACCACAAATGGCTGAACAGCGCCTGTACATAGGGTTATGGCCGCCCACAACAAACATGACCACAGGATCATTACGGACCAATATAACCCTCATCTGATGATCGTAACACCATACTATAGGGCCGTAGAGTTATCCACCTTGGCTAATACACAAGTCATGAATCGAAGGTCAGGAGGTCAAGCCTTGATGTCAGAGGTAGGCACAGGAAAAACATAAATGAAGGAAATTATGATCACCAATCATTGACTACAGTTTGATCAAAACAGAATATAAGGGAGTTACGTAACTAGAGGCCAAGACCTCAATAAAAAACTGACAACCATCACAGGCACCGGAGACTCGTAAGCCCCGGGCACTACTAAGTCACAGCCAATGGGAGATGGGGACTGTGGCAGGGAGACCCTCTGTCACCATTAGTATTTCTATCTTTGTATGTCAAATAATACCGGATCATTAATAATAATCAGACTATAGGTAAGATGAGGGATGTACAATGGAGCGACTCTTTGTCACCAGGTGAACACTTTTATGATTAATATTTATCAGTTATCGTCTACTATCTACTAAATACTGTGAAAACCTTTGTTTACCGACACCTGCATTCAACAACATCTTTCATTTTAAGAGGATTTTTAACATTTTCAATGACCCTTCTCACAAAATTCACTTTGAGATGAGGGCTTCCCTCACAGTTTTGTTTTAGATTTTATATATTTACAGAGCTTACACTTTCAAAATGACTGATATCAACTTATTTTGCTTTGGAACTACCTGAAATTCCTGGGTCGACTGATAAATATCATTAATGCAGAATAAACAATCAGAGTCAAGTTTAATGTCCGATACAATTCAGAAAATCGTGACTGTCTTACGATATTTCTTCCGTCATAAGTACAAAAATATCGTTATTATACAAGCTGATATGACTTATATACACAGAGGCGTCAAAACTCTGACAAATTATCTAGCAGTAAATATCAGGTGGTTTGAGGAATGTGGGTATAACAAAATACCACTACTGGTTCATTATCAGTTGATTAGCGGTGTGAACCCTTCAGAGATAAGCTGGCCAGAAAGGCCAATCATTGATAAGATTATCATGTTACTCAACACAAGCGCGGCCATAGAGTTTCACAGGTGAACCTACCATACAAACTATTATATAATCGCAAGTGTGAAGCTTACATTTGTCAAAATATGGATTAGAGAAAATTACCCAACCTTTATAAACTATCAAATAATCTTTGTGTAAAGTTTATATTTGTCTAAAATTGGATTAGACAAAATTATCAAGGATAACAAACGTGAAATATGTTTCATTAAATGTTTTGTGTAAATTTCCAATATAGATAACAATAATTTCACCACATATGTTACCACTAAGTTTTCTCATTTGTGAATGTTTGCACAATACCAGCTAAATCCAGGACAAACTTGTTTGAAATAAAGGATTTAGATATTAATACACCTGTCTTCACCCTCCAACCCACTTACATAAAGACAGAATTCCACCTGTAAAACCAAATGAACTAAACATAATGATAAAGAGATTTAAAATAATTAGTTTGACCAGAAAACATGACTCTACGCCAATAAACAAAGCTATCAACTAGGTCACCAATTCCCTTTCAACCACCTGTACTATTTCGTTGATGAAACATCTACAAAAACAAAAGAAGAAAAAATATGTAGTCATTTACGTAAATATAACTAACTTCTGCGCTTACCTACCCTCCTGATCAAGTGGTTCTTTGACAATGACATTTTCACTGAAATGTTTGAAACTGGATTCTGATCACAGCGGTCAAAAGACAGGTGTCCTATCTCCTGTTGACCTCATTGGCCTTAATGAATAATTGATTTGACCTCCTTCACCGCATAAATTAAGGAGTATAGGTGTTAAACCAGGGTCGTCATTCATACATGGGACAGCCCTGAGTGTTCATGTCAAGTGGTTCATTAACGTAAACAAAACAAGGAATGTTAGTGTGAACTCATTAATTATCAATTAGACTACCACACCAAACGGTTCATATTAAAGAAAGGAAAGACTGACAGGTTTTGTTTTCTCTTTGAAATAACATGATTATGGAGTTCATCTCACTTTCTCATACTTAGATAAATAAAGGTCAAAACATTTACACAATGTTATTCCTATACGAATGACACCTTGATTTTTTTCCCTTTGAAACATATATCAAATATATCAAAATATATCAAATATATCAAATATATCAAAATAGCAAATATATCAAATATATCAAATATATCAAAATAGTAAATAGTTGATATTTTAGGTATCTGGTAGAAGTGGGCATGTAGATGGAAAAAATTCCAACCACCCTAGCTCTCAATTACATTTTTTTTTTTTTTAAATTTAGGTTCAAATATTTTATTTCCAGTCATTTTTTTTTTCATAAATATGTATATACATATACTGCTTCCAAGCAGAGATATATATACATATATAAATATTTTGATAGGGATGCCAGGGTTGGGGAGCCCTGGAGTCAGCCCCTGAACAATACGATGTCCTAGCTCTCAATGACGATGTAAAATAAAATCGATTTATGATCATAGACCCAAAATAAATTTCAGTAAAGAATGACTCTATTATACACCTTGCCCATTTTAATCTTTCTATATTTGAAAAAAAATAATATAAGAACACAAATCTACAAATATAATTTAACTTGCGGATTGAACTTCATCAGTGACAAAATATTTGTCTAGACATTGATCTGTAACATCACATGTCAACTTCAGTTGTCCTGAACCATGGCCTGTCTGTGGTCAATCCAGACTGACCGTTTAGGAACTTAAGCACTAACTATAAACAGTGGTTTTGAGGTTTTAAGATATTGCACTGATACACCTACATGTATAAATAAGTCATGTAACCACTGACCACAGAGTGTTCAAGGCTCGTCAGGTCCCGAGCCACGCGCACACAGAAAACTTTGTTGAGAAATGGCGACAGATTAACCTTGTAAGCTCATTAAGTCAACAATACAAACTGTCTATAAGATCGGAGAAGTTACGGGTCTTCTAGTGTGTGCAGATTAAGAAATATCTACCCACATGGTGGCACCCTGCTGTCGAGTACATTGGATTTCCTTTTTTTGTCAACGTAGAAACGAACCCAACGACCCCACCAATAAAACTACATCTTATAATTAAGCATTATCCCCCTCAATGGTTTGGATGTCCTACTGCATACTATCAAGTAAACAAAACACACCTCCATAATGTGTCCGGCTGCTTAGTGTTCTAACACATTCTTACTGTACACCCGAGATATCGGAGAAGCTAATTTCGGGGAGAATTGTCACGTTGATAAATGTCCATATGTCAACATAAGGGTGAACGAGTTCCTTTTTATGTTTGTAAATAAATAATAATAGCCGATGTTTTTGTGGTCATTGTGTTCTTCAACTAGCTTTTTTATCGTCGCTGACACATAAAAGAAATGTCATCGTCAATTTCGGAGGCTACTTTAGGACATATCATTATAGTTAATGAATTTGAAAATCATTATAATAGTTTCATGATTGCTTTGGTTGATTGGCCAAAATACCCCACCAATTTTTCGTTATGTTTGAATCTTTACATGGTCAAACTGGACGATGCAAATATGAATTGCCAAGGTCACCAGTCTACATTGCACCTGGTGACCTGGTGTTCATTAAAAGACCTGGTCGATTCTGAATTTCACAACATTCTTTGCAAAGAAACTTCTCTTGAATAAATATTTCATACCTATTTCAAAAATTGAAATGAATTAGAAAAGTGGTAGCTTGTAAATAGTGAATCTCTTTTGACTACCCAGTATAGTGTTATGTGACATTTGGGTTGCATAAAGCTGTGGAGCTTTCCTAAGAAGTCTTATCAATGTGATTTGTTGAAATTAAAAAACAATCAATATCTTCACATGGTTCATCTTTTCAAAATCAAATTGTACTTACTTTTTTTATATCTTATTTTCCAATCATTTTTGAAAGTGCTCTTGATTGACAAAAATCAAATAAAATG